TAGATAAAATCATATCTGGCTAACCTTATTTTTTCTGAGGGTTTGATATGTGTCAAGGATTCAAGTGTGTGATGGACATGAACTGTGCTCCATGTAGCTGTATGTGCAGGTGTCTGCATGATGTGTGTATTGACGTGCTGTAGCAAGAGTTCAGGGAGGCAGCTGAGCAAAATAATTTAGAATGTCCTGCCTGCTGACACAAGGACAAAGGCACATACTGAACATGCCCATATGAGGAAGGAGACACCGGACAAAGCTACACATGGATATGCACTGCTGTTGTTTTCACCGTGACCTCCACAACACAGAGAGATTTTCACTGGCCGCTCCTACAAGCATGGACACTCAGTTTTGGTAATCTGAGACATTGTTCTCCTATTATTAGAAAATTATCTGAGCCCCCTCTGTCAATAATCAGCAGCAGAATGTATTTGAATTGACTTCTGTCATCAAGGCATTTTTCTTCATATCATCTCTAATAGAATAGACTTCCATGCAGCAGTAGCAAACAATTCTGGAGTGTATGAGCTTAAACTGCCATTTCCCAGAGAGTTTCAGTGGCTGCTCCATGTCCTGCCTTATGGGTAGGATTTCTCCAAAGAGTTTATGCAGTTGGAATTAGCATGGTGCAGTCAAGGGAGTACTGAAGGCTAAATCAATGCATCACTCCCAGGGCCTTGAGTATGGAGATGAGAGGGCATAATGCGACTTCTGGTGCCAAACCTCATATCATGTGTCTAACCAGGGTCTTTCTGCAGCACTACCCCAATGGAAAGAGATCACCTTCTTTTTTCAAGGCCACAGATAATACAGATCATAGTGAATAGTTTGAGAGTAACCTGCTAAAATATACATCATGACAATGAAAGGAAGATAACAGTTTACGCCACACAAATACATGCCTTGGTAGTTGCCAGTTTGATACAAATTACAATAAGATGGCTTTTAGTTCATTTTAGGAAACAATGGGAAACAACTATGTTAGTTCTGTTTGAAATTAAAAAGATTTACCAGCACCAGCACTGATAGCTCATTGATTTGTATCGATCTATATATCTATATACAATATATAGATCTATATATATACCTAATAGTGTAAATGAATTTCAGTTTTATGGGGGGTTATGTGAAGAGTAAAGATGTGATTTCTTCTAGGCTTGATGCACTGGTTTCCAGTCTTCTTTTCAGTGTGAGGTTGCAAGGCACTTTGCATATACTACAGTGTCTAACTACCTGCTGCTCGCTGTAAATTCGTACTCCCAGCAAACATGCATATGTCTACGTATTGCTTAATATTATCTTACCCTAAACCAGTGCACTGTTGATGCACTGCATGTGGTTATTCACAATATTCATGCCATCATTTGGATCAACAATGGCAGAAAAAGCAGCTGATACGCTTGGTGTATGACCTGGAAAACAACAGATGCTTTTCATTCTCATTGTTGACTCTGTATATGTAAAATGTATGCAAAGCCAAACGAATTACGCATCATACCTACAGTTGAATAAATGTGCAAATACACATGTGGCTCAGAAGAGTGTTTACAGCAGCACACATACACAGTGCCAACGAGTTCTCAGCAGCGCTTGCAGAAGTATAATTAGATAGTTAATACGTCAAATTGCCCCAGAGCAAAATTTTTGCCATGATAGGCTACAAGTGAACTGCTGCTCATTAAGGCTCATTCTCTTTGAATTTGGCTCTCGCCGGACAGAACATGCGCAGTGTGCAGCGTACTGCCTTCAGTCAGTGGAGCAGCTGTCCAGGGTTTGGAATTCCAACATGGCAGAGGCTGTGGTCAGTCTTCACCTCACTAACTTGGAATGGTTTCAAATCGTGAGCAGCCACGCTTAACCCCAGCGAGCCATTCATCTGCACACTCACTGGATCGATGGTACTATAAACCCTGACGCTGCCCTGTCACCTACACAGGTAAGTCCTGTTATGTCTCTCAGTGATGCGAACAATTAAAAAGAGAAACGGAGCAGCTCTGCACGCACAAATGCTCGCAGCGAGAGAGACGGTGTCGCGCGTCACAGAGCTGCAGCGCAGTCTGTGGCCAATCATTCTGCGTTCTTCGAATCAAAATTACCGGCCGCTGCTTTAGAAAATACCAAAAGAAGATTATGAAGTTGGAAAGGGACTTTACAATTAACGTGCAACACTCCGTTGTGTGAAGCGAAGGTTACACGCACGGCTGAATCCAGTCTCCAAAATAACTTCCCTGCAACGAGAAGTTTTTGCATGTCAGCCTGAATAAAACTTGCCGCGATAACCGCAGGCGGGTGGTTAATAGATGGGTTGTCATTGCGCGCTTAGTGGGACAACTGCTGGCAAGTAATCTATTTTAAAAGTAAAGGGAGGGGGCATCACGCTGGTTTAGCCTCTTCCTCTAATGGGCGGCATGAAGAATGTGTGTTTTGTGTCATCCACAGTCTCTCACATGCTTCCTATTCTCTTGTTTCAACTCGCGCAAGAAGTGACAGCCTCCAGCCGCGCCTGTGTGGCTTTTGCGTCTCATTCCAGGGCTTTTTCTTTTTTTCTTTTCTTTTTTTTTTGCTTCGAAAAATATGAGTCGCACGATGCGTTCTTCTTCGTTTTTATTATTCTTAATTATACGCTCTAAATGAATACCTACAGGAAGAAAAGGGGACCGTGCGTTTTGAAAGTTGTGAAATCCGATAGCTGAGCAAAAAGTGGCTGTAATGAGAAGCAACCTTTGGAATTCCTCCTCGTGAAAATTCCGTTTCTGCTGTTTTCCCTCTCCTCTTGTTTTTAGGCTTGAAGACATGATCACTAGCACCAGTATATATGGTATGTTCAATTTGTAATTATCTTTAATATTATTATTTTTAATTGTCATATTTGAAAAAAGGCTTCCATTGCAGTAAATGTGTGTGTGTGTTTTTCTTTGTGCATGCCTGGTTCATCTACAGAAGTTTACTTGATTTAGGTTAAATAATTTAATGATTGTAGATCATAGACGAGGGTACATCGTGATATTAATTTTGTACAAGTGGCATTATCAATTAAGTTCAAAGTGCCTTGTGTAGGTTAAGAAATTTGCCCCCATTTTAATTGGTTTGGTTTCTGTAATTGACATACTTGATGTCCAGTTTTCATTTTTCTTTGTCCTTTCCCTGCTTTCATTTCCTTGCATGCATAACTCTAACAATTTGACTTCTTTTGTTAGGGTTACAAATTAGTATTAAGAGCTCTCATTTCAAACCTACCAGCAATTCTTATATGGAGTCTGATTTTATAGTATAGTTTAACCATAAATAGAAATATTTGCCCATCTAGAAAATTGCATTTTTTAAACATAGTTTATTTTCAGATTTATGACATGGCTTTGAATTAATTGGTGTCTTCAGAGTTGTTAGAACATAAATATATTGTCATGGTTCCACAGTAATCAGGTTGCATCACAAATATACTATAGTTATGAAGCATGATCTAAAATAATTTATACAACAAAACTACTGGTAATACAAGCTTGCTGTCTTGCTTCAACATTACAAATACCTGATGAGATAACCCAAGTAACCCAAGTTTAAGGAAAACACACACTGCTTTTATCTTTAGCTGTCACAATCCAGAATGACCTACAGGTGAAACAATATCGTATTTCCTCACAAATTAGTTCACAAGCAATGTATAAAAAAATGCTGTCATTTATGATAAAGTGGAAATGATTCGTGAAAAGCCAGTAAATGAACGCAAAGTCAGTGAAGTAACAAGTTGTGTGCTTTCTCTCTTTTGCAAACACTTTGTCCTAAGTGAACCTTTTCCACCTCCATAGAACAATTTACTTAATTGTGTTCGCACATTTCATTTGCATGTTTTGCTTTGAGAGGAAATTAACATCATCAGCAGTGAGCTGAAGTATGTTTTCATTCCTCTTCAAAAATAACAGCATTCCAGCATCCGTCACTCAGTGGAAAAAATGTACATTACCGCCACGTTCATTATGTTTGAGTGTTTGGTTGTAATGTGTTTTTTTTTTAAGTGGGTATTAATTTTGTCGGTTTGATTTAAAAAAAAAATGTTTTTCATATTTATACCCCATGTGTGGTAGGTATTTTTATTGCAGACTTTTGGTCTGAGCTTCTCTGACATGCACACTGGCTGATACTACACTTAGTTTTAAACATTAAAAAATATATTTGATTTAATCTGTAGCCAGAGCTTGTAATCTAAATGTCATGTACAGTGTATACGATCTTTAAATGTATGATTTCAAATGATAGACTTGTGTAATTTAACTGACAATTTAAATATATATATATATATATATCGCAACGCATGCATTTTCCTGGAGGTTTACACCTACAGTATAATTTTTGTGGCTATTATGACTTCAGAGGTGGGTTTATGGTTTTATCTTGATAAATTTACAGTATTTGTACACACTAAATAGCCTTCTTACTCACCCTGAGCATACTTATCAGGATTCAAACCCTGGAAGGGTTCCATGTATGAGCTCCTGCAGCGTGTTAGCCGATTCTTGCAGATCCTTACTTAACCCCAGACACCTCTGTTGTGCATGGAAAAGAAGCTGACAGCTCTGTTTATTTCTGATAGGATAGCACTTATGATAACAACCTAAGCTGCTATTTGACACAAGTCTCAGTTTTGACTCCTGTTTTCATCACCTACTTTGCCTTATGTCACACATGTTCACACTTTTAAGAGTGAGTGCAAAGAATAACAAGAAGTTGCATGAAGTAAACTAAAAAAAACTGCATGTACTTTATGGCAGAAGGATATAGAAATATTGACAAAGGGATTCCTTGCTAATGGTGGTCAAAGAAATCCATTTCTTTTCCACACTGCAGTGCAATGTAATAAAATGTTTGGGTTTTTTAATCATACTTTAAAAACAATTTGGATATTTCACTTTTTTTTCTTGCTTATTTTACTGCTGCTTCTTTATATGTGCTAATAGCGTCACATAAATCTAAACAGGTTTCCTGAAACACAGTGTAAACAAATTAAAACAACAGGTGATTTCTTGATTTCTTGTTGAGTACATCTATAATTAAGTAATATAAGTACACAAACATGAAGCAAAAAATAATTATGACTGTGCATCTTGTGAATGCATCTTGTCCTTGTGAATCAATTTAGCTTCTCTAAATCTCTAAATGTTCTGCCTATAATCTAAAGTGTGTAACATTACTAGTGATCACTAAAATTGACAGCATGGTTTAAACTATTACCTTAGGGAAGTGGTGTGTGGTGGAACTGACACTTTATATATGTACTAATCACAACAATTAAAGCCAGCCCCTGAATACCTTGAGCTGACTCTCTGTAAACACCCCGTGGGATGTCTGCAGGGCTTTTGTAAATAGATGAAATGCTCATCTTTACAGACTGATCTATTTGTCGGTAACTAGATGAAATCCCATTCAGCCCCTTGACTACAGTGTGTTGTACCAGATCAGTGCAGGATTGTCATCTTTCAGAAAATATGTTAAGTGGTGTCTTTCCTGTTTTTCATATAAAAAGCAAGGGAGTCCCCAACGGAGTAAGACTCAAGTCAAAGGGACAGAAAAAAAAAACCCTCCAATCTTTAACATGTTCCCCCTCCTCTCTCTTTGTTTCTTTCTCTGTTCGTCTCCTCACTTGTATCCACATCTCTGTCGTTTCCCTTATGGCAGCTTGCTATGTTATCTGTGTGTGTTTCACTCTGCACTGACAATTCTTGCAGTGATTTAAGTTGGACTGCATTAGAAGGTGGAGGCAGCTGTCTGTTGCTATACTGAGGGACGTGTTTGCTCTACTGCAAAGATGAAGGACCGTGAATCCTTGACATCCTCCCTCTCTCTTCCCTCCTCCTCCTCCTACCATCTCATTTAGACACAGTGACTGTCTGCTCAGACTTGTTTTTTTTCCCTCTGAGTGACAGCATATGGCATAGACATTTTCTAAAATGCATGTGCCTACTATTGGCTGCTTGTACTTACCCTTCATATGTCTCTTAGCTGCGGGCCTGTCACATTTTTTTCTAATTCTAACAAAATACTCTGACATTAATTTAGTTTAACAGGTAGTAATTGATAAAACAATGCTGGCTTTATATTAAAGAAGTGAACAGATATTCAGAGTCTGCTTTACTACTGTCTGTAATTTAAACGGCCCTTTAGAGTTCCTTTGTTTATTGCAGTTTGTTTTATTTTTTCAGTCAAAAAAAAAAAAGTGCAGTGGCGCTTTTGTGTGTCTGTGTGCTTGCAGGTCAGCCAGCCTGTTTTTCTTTGTGTATATTGAGGACCAGTTTGAGGATGGACACCTCTTTGGACACCCTGTTCTATCTTTAAAGATACTGGTCCTCGCATAAACATGCTATAATATCATTACGATCCATACCATAAAGCATAATGTGATTACAGAGCTTAGGATTCAGCAAATGGCTAATTATAATGGCAACACTTTCATAGGGTACGTTGCAGGGGCATGTTTGTCTAGGCCCTCATTGCCAGGCATCTTATTTACACAGTATAGCATTTGTTGCCTTAAAGTCCTTGTTCTTCTCATTTCCAGCACACTGAAACAAGGGCTTTGTTTCATCTCCTTCACATGAGGTGTCTCTACACTCATAAGAAGAGAAGGCAGTTCAGCGCCTGTTGGGGATTGGCTAGAATAGACAATTCCCAGGTGTACTAAACTAGGTTTAGCACTAAGGCTTTTAATCTGGACTTGTAGGAGATTCATGTGCATTCATAGATTTGCCTCTGTAATTATCATACCCCCAGTGGCAGCCACAGAGACGTTTGCCTAAATCACTGATGTCCTCATTACACTGTTTACATTTTAATTAGTCATGCAAAATTCTTTATTTCTAACCGACCAAAAAGATTTGGTTTCTGCCCAGACTGTTTTGTGGCTCTTTCTGAATGGTGTCTGCGTCTTGCAAAGAGAACTGTTGC